CCACCTGAGAGCCAGGCAGAGCACCTCGTATTTCGGCTGCAGGAGCTCCCAAAAGTTGACCGACAAAAGCACACATTGCTCTATTTTGGGCATAGGACCACACGTGCTGTCCTGCATGTATTTGAGCACTATTTGGGCCCTCAGATCAGGGCTATTTGGGGATGTAGGACATGTGGGGTTATTATATGTTTTTATTATGTTTTGGGGTACTGTTATGTTTTTGTGTTTGCTCTCTGTTCCTGGGAGATAATTAGCTTACCGGTCTTAATCATCTCCCAGGCGCAGAGTTTCCTGAGAGGAGCTTGCATTGTATTGTTTGGAGACCTCATGCTGGGATCTGTGGATAGAAGGAAGAGTTTGGCTCATTAAAATCAGTTATACTCCCAGAACTATGTGCCGTCTAGTTACTGGAAGGGCTATTCACTACTCAGCATCTGGTTCCAGCTCGTGGAGGATTCAGCGGGGAAAGTCCTTGTAAGGACTATAGCTCCCAAGACTTTGTGTCGTCCAATCCCTGGGAGGGAATAGAGCTAATCCAATATCCTGTTCCAGGATGGAGAGGCTCCAGGAGGACCCCAGTCAGGCCACGGCGATGGATGCATGGGTGTCTACATATTGCCTAGTCTTTTTTATCTTTAACCTCATTCTTACAGAATATCTTCACTTTTCCATTATGAATTACCCATAAAAAATGTTTTAAGTGTCGCCATAACACTTGATTAAAAATACCTGTTGCTGCTTAAACAAATTAAAAAAGTAGAAAAAAAGTAATAACTCAAAGCACACCAGTAAGTTTGCATATGAAATGGATTTATTCATTAAGTGATTGGAAATAAAATAGCACATGAAAAGTGAAAACAGCACTTGAGGAAGGCTAGACGCCAAAACGTCGGGGTTGCTGTATCTCCTGCTCTAGATTATTATGCTGTGATACTATTGGTTGTTGGGATTTAATATTAAGCGCTTTTCTCTTTACTTGATATGTCTTTTATGGATTAGTGATTTAATGTTTGCATTGCTATACTGCTGTTTGCACTTTTAATGTACTATTTTATGTGCTTGCATCTGGTGGGGATACAGAGTTTTCTCATTAAGCACCCAATATTCTTCTCACCACCTTTCACCCATATAAAAGTTGAGCGCTCATTATATAATTGTATATGCTGCTTAAACCAATAGAAGATTGGTTTAAGTAAATCGAGAAAGATTGAATTGTTCAGGTCAGTTAAACTAGTTGAAAAAGTAATTCAGTGAATCCATTGGTGCTCACTCATAAAATGTCAGCAGACTGTGGAAAGAGGAAGATAAATGTGCAAGTAACAGGCTCAACCAAAAGATTAATTTGATTTCTAATAAAATCTTACTGAGTGAAAATCTGTGAGAATGATTTAGCACTGGGAATCCACAAAATATAAAAATTTTGGAATTCCCCGAAATACAATTTTGTGTTCTACAAAATGACTTTACAATGAGGTTCTATAAAATAACATAATCTGCGATCTGTCTCATTGTTTTTTTTTTTTTTTTGTTGCATACCCTTCCAAAACCATTCTCTGCCACTTGATGTCCTTAATGGTTCCTGCATCAGAATACATGAACCTGTTAAATGTGGAAAGCTGCAGAATGTAGGTATCTGATTTGTAAAATTAGAATTCTATTACTAAAAAGGACCATTAATAATAAGTGTGAGATATTTTCAGAATTTTGACATGTAAATTGAAATAGTTTGTGGTATTTACAAATATCTAGAGGCAAACGTATAAAAATGTGTATTTTTTTTTTTTTTAAATATGATGTCCATATTTGCTTTAAATTCAGTGTCGAAGGTCTTCTATTTTTATACCAGTACGTGTTCATTAATTGTCTGTATTCCTTCAGTTTTCACAGCTACACGGCGCTATGTAATAACCAAATAATCATACTAAATTCTGGGTTGAATATCCAAATGGCAAAAATAATTCATGGTGTATTGACTACAATACATTCTTTGTCATTTTGGTCACAGATGGGTTAAATCGGTTAAAACCACAGTAACATAACACGTTATTTATTTACCTTTTATAAATATCTATAACGCAACTTGCTTTGAAGCATGAGGTACATCGGTATTCTTCCCCTGTAGAAGCCTCTTGTGGCTAGTTCCCAAAGGGCTCTTCAACATCTCAACCTACCGCTTGTACAATGTTATTCCTTCCTCGGAATCCACTCCTTGACAGTTGTACATGGGCTGCATTCTAATATAATAAAATATTCAGCACTGCTTCTCCCTGCCTGACAACTTTCCTGTAATTCTTGGCAAATGTAATGAAAACCTTCCTTTCATTTACATGTTTTCAATCCTAGTAAAGCAAATGGTAATGTATGTTGAGCAATGTCTACTGACATAGTATTCTTAATTTCCGATTATCTTGTCAGTGTACCTCATTCACATATTCATATTAAGATATGTTATCATTTAACATGTACACAATGTTCTGCCATTTAGTCTTATTTCTATGAGTCATTTATATGCAGTTTTTATGTTTCGATAATTTGTAATGTCAGCACTCATAATCTTTGTGCCTAGAATACATCAATATCTTGTATATATCAGGATTCAAGCTGCATTGATATAATAATGTTCTCTTCTTACAGAGCCAAATCCACTTGACTGCAACATTCTTAATCACAAGCTGCAGAATCATGAAAGAAAAAAAATACATAGATTATATCATTATTACTGAGGGCTGTGTAAAAGAGAGATAAGGAACAATTGGGAATTATGTTGAAAGAGCAAGTCTGAAGCAAAAATTCTGAAAGTGGAATTATCGACAGGAACGGAACTCAAAATAGACATAACATAATGCAATGCTCGAATGCATGAAAGAAGGTATAATACTGACCCAGGATGTAGAATGGTGACATATAATTTTAGATCCTCAATCTAATATTTTGTAAAAGCTTTTCAAATTAGTTAATACTTTTTGATAAACTTTTAAAGTGACTTTTTCAAAATATTAATATATAAAAAAAAAAAAAAAAAAATGTACTACATTTATTAGATAATTTTTAAAATTTACCCAAAAATAAGAAAACATTTGAAAAGCTTATCCAAAATTGTTGCATAGAGGCCTAGATTAGATGTGTGCATTATATCTGGTGACCAGTCAAGTTAATCATAGGTTGTGTGCGTTGATGAAACATGTATCTTTGAAAAACATTTGATAACATTTGAATTAATAATATATTGCAACCATTTTAAATAAAGGGAGGTTGAAAATTGCAATGAAAAAAAAGCCATGTAAAAGAAGAATTTTAATATATTTAATAAAATGTAAAAAACCATTCTGGGGAAAACAAAGCCGCAGAACTTCAACAGAGTCGAGACTCAACACTAGAGAAATCCTACAGACTTCATTCTGCACATTTCAGCCAATTCCGTTTGTTTTTTTTCCTTCTTTTTCTTAAAAATCAATGAATTTAATTTAGGATGTTGTCTTGTTTATTCTGTAATTTGTTAGTATCTGTAATTTTGATTTTTAATACAGTATTTGCAATGTGTAGTCTTAGAATATTGATATATATAGCGAACCCTTGATATGTTAGATTAAGGGATTTCACTATTTACAGTTTATTTATATTTTATCTTGAAGCTATCAATATTATCTGTCTAAGATATTTATCCCACACATTATTGTATTATGTCTTTGTCAGAAGCTAAACTAGCGAATTCTTTGAAATCTGATCTTGCAATTATATTTTTCTGACGATTTGATTGTATTGTATATATGCATTTTATTTTGTCTTGTTGATGCCAGTGATTTAATATTGTTCATTGATAAATTTTCTGACTGTATGTCTTGTTATATTGAAAATTAATAAAAATCATTTAATAATAAAAATCAATGAATTCAGTTTCTTTAGTTATAATTCTCTATCTCTTGCAGTCATTTTCTGATTTTTAGTCATCTTCTTTAAACATTTTTCAACTTTCATTTAGTTAATGCTTTTTCGCATATTTCCTCTCTCTCTTTCTTAGTGAGATGAGTTCAACTTTCCCACCGAAGCCTCCACAATCCTCTTGCTGATGACATTCTTGACCTTCATTTTTTTTTCTAAACAGAACGCAGACTCCATCCTCTGCAAATTGCAATTTTCCATTTCCTGATCAACATTGCTAAATCTGTTTATCTTCAAGGATAGCTGTCACCAAATTTTCACTTTATATAAATGATGTATATAGTGTAGATTTTTTTTGGAGAAATTGTAACTTTTTTTTGTATCTGGAAGAGCATCCATGTTGGGTCAGATTCTTACTGTTATCTGACCAACTGCTCCTCAATCTAGCTTGTCTACTGCTGCAGCTTCACACAGAGCAATCATAGCACCAGGCAAGTTAGGTTGAGCAACAGTTAGTCAGAAAACAATAAAGTCTAAGCCAACATGGCTTGCCAGTTGAATGAAAATTTCATACAACTCACCAACCGCACCAGTTCTTAGTTCTCTAGATTAGGAACCATTTTTGATTGACCTTTGACATCTCATTTCTCTCAGCATTTCCCCGCATGATTAGAACTGCCTAACTTTACATTTCCAGTCTCTAAACTTTGCTGGAAATATTACCAATCACAGCCTGCTCTAAACTGTGAACACTCCAACCCAAACAAACACATGCCTTATTTCTATAAATCTGCTCTATCCCTTGAAAAAAAAGAAAAAATCTCCGGGTAATCAGGGTGTTTAAGTCACAGGTTTATTGTCACAGTCACAGGTTTATTGGATCAAAAGTGTCAGAACAGCAATGTTTCGACCTACTAGGAGGTCTTTATTAAGATATCCCTTGACAGCATACCTGACTTCTCTTGCAACTCCAAGCCACTGTGTTGTACCTTCAACTCAAAACTGCACCCATCACAATGCACTGTCTACTAACCACTAGTGATGTCGCGAACCGTTCACGAACTTCCCGCGAACGGCTCGCCACGGTTCGCCACGAACGGTTCGTGGCGAGCTCCGGTCAGCTGACATATCCCGGCCAATCTCCAGCAGACCCTCCCTTCCAGACCCTCCCACCTCCTGGACAGCATCCATGTTGTGAAGGCAGCTTCAACATGGATGCTGTCCAGGAGGTGGAAGGGTCTGGGAGGGAGGGTCTGCTGGAGATTGGCCGGGATATGTCAGCTGACCGGAGCTCGCCGCGAACCGCGGCGAGCCGTTCGCGGGAAGTTCGCAAACAGTTCACGACATCACTACTAACCACTGCTAGAAACCCTGCAAATTCCTTTAAATTACTAATTAACTGAACTTTCTCATCTAGTCATCCTACTTTCCCCCCTTTACTCAAACCCTTTGCTCCTCGCATATGCACAGTGTTTGTCATCTTTTAGTGATCTGTTTAGTTTGTTTATATTCCAATACCACCTACATTCTATTGGTAAACTGGTCAGGATGTTCTGCATATATATGTCTTCCTCTGATCTCTCTTTCTTCTGACCTTGATCATGTCACAAACAGCCTTCCTGCCATCTCTAACTGGATGGCTGACCACTGTCTGAAATTAAGCTGTTCCAATATAGAATGTTTTGTCTTTCCTCCTTTAAGTACAACTTTACCCAGATCAGACTCATTCAAAACCAGGTGACTACTTAACAATTTATCAACAGATTATCTGCCTTGGTGTTATACTTGACTCTGACCTCTTCTTATACTTGAATATACACAGATTATTTGCATTAGTGTTATACTTGACTCTGACCTCTCAATCTCCAAACCCTGCCACTTGTATCCAAAAAACAAACTTGTCTCTTCTCCTAACTCCACATGCAGTTAAATTGCTTATCTGCATTTTGATTATTACTCTCCTTAACTATAAAACTCCTTGGCTATATATATATATATATATATGTATATCAATATAATGAGATCGAGTCTACATATCCTTACTAATGAAAATGCATATAAATTTTCCTTGCAACATTATACTGTCCTCTATATTTTTCCCCCTTAACAAATCCTTAAATATTCTTCTTTAAGAAGACCTAACAGCTACATATTGATATGCCATATAATGTGCAGATATTTTTCATAATATTGTAAATACTAGACATGGGATTTTTTTTTTGATTGATGGGGGATCAGTGTTTTATCCAAATTCCATAACTCAGAATCACCATGATGGTAGCTACATCGGTGGGTAGCAGAGGAGGCTGCCTCTGGCCCTGTAGGTATCATAGCATCCCACGGGAGACCCAGTGTTGGCAAAATAGTTGTTGCTTCTGTGAGGTCATGCACTGTGTGCATGGTGTCCCCTTTGAGTACTATAAGTGTATGAGATAGTTGCCAGTTGTGAATGGTCCAAGGGACCTGCTTTTAAATAAAACAGAAGTTCCTCACTGGGGGACATACTTGAAGTTCCTGTTGAGGAACTTCTAGTTCTCCAGAAATTGTAGTGGAGGGAAGAGCCATATCTGGCAGACCCCAGGTAAGAAATCAAACCATTCTAAAATAGGGGTTGGGGTGCACCAGGGCACTCTGGCACCATAACCATTACAGTGAACTGTAATTTTAAGATACGACAAATTGTTTTCTATTCCAAATTTTTCTGCTGACTCTATTGTTTCAAAAGTTTTTCCTCCTACTTCTTTAGCTTGTCATTCGCTGTCATAACTTCTTCCTACAAATCTACATAACATTTCCTGCTATGTTGATTCTATTTTGTCTGTTATGAGATAATTCCTGTTTGGCTTCAATTTTATGACGTTTGTAAAAAAAAAAAAAAAGAAATCACTAATTTTTCTCTACCACCCCTACCTCCACCCCCTAAAAAAATCCTAAATCATTCAGGGAAAAATAAACAAGGTTCAATAAATTGAAAGACATACAAAAAATATTGAAAAAGTAGACACTCTCTGATGACTTGCTTGCTGCAGTTGAGGTTGTGGATTGAATATTATTCTTAAAATATTGATCATTTTAGTGCATACAAACATCATTCAGTCACCATTGACTTTGAGACCTGTCACTTTGTTATCTTATACATTATTTATTGCTACTGTATTATTATATGTGTGAATCTTCACTGTTTGATTTTCCAGTTCTCTGCTTTAACTATAGAAATTAGTAGAATTTTCTGCTTGAAAAAATATGTAGAATGCATAATTTGTAGGTCTGAGATTAGTACACGTCTCATCTGAAATGCACATTAAAATGTTTCCATATGTAATGATTCTCACCTAAGAATGATTTGCATTATTATTTAAGTAACTCTTTAAATTAGAATGGGGTTTTTTGACTATCTGTCTAATAGCAAGAATGCATTAGAATGCAAGCGCTAAAATAGTAGCAAGAGTCAAACTCATTAATCTTGTACAATATGAGTTAAATAATATGTAAAGGTATTATAAAACCAGCAGCAATTATGTAATATAGTAAAGTAAAGTACAGGGGCTGAATACATCAAACATGACGGAAGGAATAGTCAGATTAATGAGCTGGAACAAAAAAAAGAATAAGCAGAGGAAACAAATTAAATATACACAGGGTGGATTTATACTCATTAATTTCCATATCTTTGTGTTTTAAAAATACAACATAATATTTATTTGAAACATAGCTTTTATAACTAAAGGCATTGATGTCTAAAATATGTACATTTACTTTACATTCATTTTACTAATGGAAATATTGGGGGATACGTATTTTACAGGTTTTATATAATATCTTACTTTACCATGTTTCATACATGGTCTGTAATATTAACAAAGAAGCATTAATAAAATATTTGTCACATAGAATAGGTGTAACAAATAATAGAAAAAATATGAATATACAGTATCTCACAAAAGTTAGTACAACCATCACATTTTTGTAAATATTTTATTATATCTTTTCATGTGACAACACTGAAGAAATTACACTCTGCTACAATGTAAAGTAGTAAGAGTACATATATGTTGTATATATTTTGCATATTTATATATTTTATATTGTATATATTTTGCAGTACATTGATTAGCCCATTTTCGCGCACGTTTGGTTGTTTGGTTCGTCTGATTAATTTCCAAATCAGGTTTTTCGCACTGAAATTCTGCCAAGCCATACATGCATAATGCTGAAATTTGGGTGTCCTGAAAATTGTTTCTATTTTAGGTAAAAATGGGTCATGCCACACTCACCCTGTCACATCAACCCTTTAATCCTGTCACACTTACCTCCCCTTGCTGTGTCACACTCCCTCCTCCAACCATATCACACTCACCCTTACTCATTGTATCACACTTACTCCCCCCAACCTGTCTCATTCACTTCCTCACCCTGTCACACTCATCCTGCCACAGTTAACTCTTTACCCACCCTGTCACACTCAACCCCTCATCATACACACAGTCATGAAATGTAGCTTTGCTATAAACACAATGCACAAAGGCTACATGGAGCCCCCATACACTGAACACATCACAAGTAGCCACCCCACTTATATACAGTCCCAGACACCTAGCACACACGTGCTCACAGAGATATACATTCACACACAAGGATACTCACTGTCAAACACACCCTCTCAGGCACATAAACAGGTAGACAATGCCAGACACAGTCAGAAGTAAACACAGCCATTGTCATTATTTGCCAATGTGTCTTTGTGCCTTGTGTGTATGCATGTATGTATATCATCGTTTGTATATATGTTTGTGTATTAGTGTGCATATGTGTGTGTTTAAAAGTGTGTGTATATGTGTGCACGTATTGATGTGTATGTGTCTATGGGTGCAATGTGAGGGTGGTATGGTATGATCAATGCATAGATGAAGAGGCAACATATAATATAAATACATATACAATACATGGGGAAACATGTAAAGAGCACATAGAATATTATATAAGTATAAATGATTATATAATATGTGGAAAAAAATGTGTTTTCTATGTGTTTTTTTGTAGTGTTTCCATATCTGTAACTTTATGTTTTGGTCAATGGGTTTATTAAAAGCTTTATCCAACCAAAATATTCATTTTTGCTTTCAATAACCCCGTCACACTGCTCACTTATGCATACACGACTGCCAGGCTTTGCAACAATTCCCCACAATCCTGTATAAACAATTATCATAATTTCAAATTACATTTTATTGCAAACTAATTTAGATTGCAAATTACGCCATAACTATAATCAAAGAGTTCACAACACTGAGATGCAACACTGCAAGTCTCTGAATGCTGAATACAGAGTCTAGCTCTCTGTATCCAGCGTTGCAAGCCTGCCCGTCATTATAACTACAGCTCCTTATCCATACATACATTGCACACCCTATCTTTTCACAGTGGGTGTTAGTGGGGGCCTCATGTTTTAGCTTTGCCCCAGGGCCTCACAAAGTCTAGAGCCGCCACTGGAGAGGGGACACTAAGTTGATATCACCCCCATCTTCATTCCATTGGCCCCATACATAAATAAAAAGGAGCAAATCAATTGTGAAAACCATAAAAAAATACTTATTTAGGTAAAAAGAGATGCTTACTTGTTAAAACACATGAGTCTCACTAAATCTCACAGCTACACATATAAATTAAACAGGGGTCACACAGTTTAGTTTTGAAAGTTCATGTTGTTGTACTCTGACACATGGAGATGCAAGAGGAAGCTACACCTTGGTGAATGGATAGCAAGGTTCGGAGCCTGGATGCATGCTGGTGACTCTGTGTGTTGTACAATGAACAGAACGTTTGAAGGTGCACTGCGGGACCTCTTTTAATTAATATACTCGCTGGTTATGAGATATTGTTCGGATCTCATTCATGTTTATGAGCAAGCTTCTATTTTTATATTTATATATATATTTATATATATATATATATATCAAAAATACTTTACTGTTAGTGTTTTTTTTTGTTTTGCATCTTTGTTCTAAAATTGAAGTGTTCCTACTAGAAATATACTAGAAGTAGTATTTGTACTATTTATAACCTTTTACATTAGGTAACTATCAATGCTTCTGAGATGCAAAGGAATGTAAGATATTGTGAATACTTTTACAATTTGTATTTTACAAACAACTTACACCCTAAATGGTAGTGAATTAGGGATAACCACACACGAGAAGGATTTGAGAATTGTTATTGACAACAAATTAGGCAGCAATATGCAATGTCAATCAGCAGTTGCTAAGGCCAGTGAGGTAATTTATA